AAAGGGGGATAGATTTTCAAACTTGCAACTACACCCCATCCTTCAATAGCTAATGCAACGCCATAAAGCAAAAGAAATGCACCACTGAGGATAGAAAGTAGAACAATTTGTCAAGTACTTAAATATTCCAAGGAAAAATGATGATAAGAACATGAATTTTTTGGATAACATGATAAAAATTCATTAAAAAATGAGAGAACTCCAACACTTCAGCATACAGAGAAGAGTTCAACAAAACCTGACGTTTTTCCCACAATCTGCATGTGCATCGTACACATACACAGGTAACACCCTTGGGGAATATACTACTATCGAAGGTGAAAGGAGCACCTAGAGAAGACAATAATTACTGAGTTATTAAAGCAAGAACACATGTCAAGAAGAAATAGGAAGAACATCTCACTGTGGGAGAGGGCCAACATAACAAGCCATTCCCATGCCCCTATATTCCAGTCTGATAAGAATATCAAAAATGATAGTAAGATACAAAAGTATTACGGAGCAAATGGTTATAAAAATCTCTTATCTAACTTAGAACTTTCAGGAAAATAAATGGAACATGAAGACAAAGCATACCAAGTATAATAATGGCAGTTGATGTTATAGTCGCAAGCCAGTGTGATTCCTTCACAGTCAGGCCATACAAGATAGAATATGCAAGTAGTACTAAAACTGAACCAAGGTACAGAAGCCCAAGATGCAAAGCCCTGCAAACCTGCTTGCATGAGAAATTACTTTTGATAGCATGCTTCCAAGTTTAGACGTTATAGTATTTATAAAGACTTCTTCAGAAGTTAAAAGAAAACTCCCGCATCAGATTTATAATAGGTCTGCTAAAAGATAGCTAGCAGAACTGATTCATAAACATTAATGTGTGAGTCATACGTATGCATATATCCTACACCTACAACAACAAAGCCCTAATCTATACACACATTGGGTAACTAGAATAAAGTATATACATGATTGTAACAATATAACATCAAGCTTGACGTTAAATAACAGCTTTACAGAGAGACTGCACAACCCAAAATCACATAATAAATATATTACTGTTTAGAAAAACAGATTTAGAGCTTGCCTTCTCGTTTGTCGAGGATATAACTCATTAGGTTCAGGGGGTTCTTGTAAACAAGCAACTGGACCCACTTCAATACAGTCTGAATACGCAAATTTGTATGCCCTCCGCACATATTCATCAACATCTAAGCCATTACCTGATGTCAATGGTAACAATAATTGCTCAACTAATAGTTTAGAAGCTAAATAGGAGAAGAAATTACACATGTTGAAAAACAGCAGCATACTCATGGGAAAGTTTATGTTTTGAACTGTACTCTAAGAAATGATAAAAGAAAATACAAGTCAGAAGGTTCACTTAAATGGAGACACAAAAGCCAGGACAGAAAGATTTGTGTTGCTTACCATTAAAAACCATTCTGCAAATAAAGAGCATGTTGATGGCTAAAGCGAATGCTGACACTCCAAAGAAAAAACCAGAAGGTGAATATCTCTCAGATGCACTCACACCAGCTGTGACATACACCGCACAGAGTTCATATGCACAGAGCAACCCAACAGCCAACAAAAGAAGAACAGCTACAGCTCCTGCCCGCCATATTATAAGAATGATAATAATGATTAAGCAATGAAATACTCAAGGGTCTAAGTATAACCCACACTCAAGATGAATAGGCATCTTTATGTATCTATAGAACTTTTTAACAGAGTACTTTGATCCTGCATTTAGATAATGTAGATTTGAAGTAATATTCCTATTATGTTAAGCCTTACAAGATGCTCATGTGTATGTGGGATTTTTTGTAAAGCCCAATTTCGTACAGAGCAATATAATCACATAGAAATATTCTGGAAATTACATCCAGAAAGGATAAGTAAAGACGATTGTGCTTGACGAGGTAATATATTTGGAATTACAAGAATGCAGTGATCAGCAAGCAAAAATCATTAGAAACAAAAGAGAAAAGATATCCATATTATATCAACATTAAATTCATACAAGGATCGTGATTGTGTCAAAAATGCAAAGAGATATCACACACTCATACATACTTGAGCTTTGCCATTGTGTTCTCCACCATAGCATGATTGAGTAGAATGCTAAAAGAATAGCAGTACCACCCATTACCACAGCT